TGAGTTTTGACACTTAGGTTATAAATTTGTTATTTCCCTTTTTTAGTAGTACATGAAATTATAATTTGTTACAGTTTGAATTACATTTACACACAGCATATCAAGTATACCATTAGTGATTGAATTTGTCAATATAATGAAGATTTCAGGCATAAGACTTTAATGATTTTGCTTTTGATAATTATTCTTAATTTATATTTATGAAATTAAATGTTTAATAATAACATGTTGATATATTGGTTGTTTTGAAATAATTAAACTTTAGTATATAAGGTTACATTTCATTGGCGTCTTTGGTCTAGCATACCACTTTGTACTGCAAAATTAACTTTTTAAGGGTATGACTAGCGAAAGCTGCATTTTGTGGACTTACGAGCGGATGGCCCCTCATTAAGCCAAGGCTATAGATAGATAGCATTATTGAAAACAGAAACTTTGATCTGCAGTTTGAACATGAAGTGTAATGTTTTTTATGAATGGTTTTAAAGCAATTCAACAAATAAGTATATTGATCTCCCAATAAATCAATTAACAATAGTTTTTTTTTTAAATATCACCAATGTCAAATAGCTTTTATATCTTTGACTCGCACGAACATAATGTTAGTGAATTTCCTCATACCTGCCTAAAATTCAGGTAACAGTCTTCTATTATATTGATGAATACTGTATCACCATGTAACGCGTGTATAACAAACAAAAGAATCCTGAATTTGGTCTTTTTGAAATTCATCCCGAATTTTTCATTCCAGTGTTAGTTCTACATTCAGTATTGAAAGAAACCATTTTTTTATATTTGACATGAAAAAAATGCATGTAATATTACTATATTATAATTTTAGTCCCTTTTGTTATTATTTGTATACATGTATTGTTACAATTATAATAATAAAAAAACCAGACTTTGATATTTTTATCATCTTATGTTACTGACTACAGTAGTGACACAAACAGAACACAGTACAGTCATGTCACATAACATTTACAAGTCTTGTTTGTATTCAATGGAATTACTTTCTTTACCAGGTAGGCATCGATAAAAGCATTTTGTTATCTTTCCCCTCTTTTTAAGTATGGACAGTGCATAAAATAAGTATAATTATGCAAAAAATGTTTTACGAAACATTCGGAAAAGATCTACAATAGTACTTAATCTGAATATAACATGACCTGTGCGTAGGAATAATTTGGTAAGGTATCTGTAATGAGCGCATTTTTTGCGCGGAGCTTCTCAATGGCTGCATTGCAACAACATTTGTACTTGTATTACTGTAAAGAAGACCTACCAAACTAATACAATATCAACGCAAGAAAGACGAAATAGCCGGAGCAAACCAACAAATGACCATGCAACGTGGAGATATCCCGGACAATTTGCTGTTGTTAGGGTTTTGAACCTAATATTGCTTCCAAAATGATCTACCAAAGAAAAGCAACAGAATCAGAAACATGCTGTTAGAGCGATTTGCTGCTGAAGAAAGTGGTGAGTTTCAAGAAATTTTTATTGTACATATTATACATTTACATACTTTTTTATTAGAAAGAAAATGTTTATTCTAACACTCACGTGATTTTGTCACTATAGACAAAGAAGGAAAAAAAACTGGTGTTAAACTGCCAATAAACACCGGTTAGGGACTACTTGTATATGCGCTGTTATGTTTTCACCCTCGATTGTATTGTTTACAAAGCATTGTAAAGCAACAATAAAAACATTTTTTTATTTATATTTTCAGTTCGTATAATGTTTTCTTTTCATACAATACCGAAATAATATCTCACATATACTTACGCCACATATTAGATCCATATCAGTTAATAAATATTTTAACAAAAACGCGCCAATCCGTAAGCAGCGTAATGACGTCATCCTAAGTAAACAACTCATTCATAAACAAGCTGACGTTATGTCATACATACAAGAATGATAAATGGGGCACTGATGTAAAAACAATACGACGTAAGTTTTTATTGTTGAAAACTTGATAAAATAACTTTTTTTCCTTATTATTTCTTTTGTTTGATAATTTCTATATCTTCGCAACAGTAGGGAGCGAAAATCGAACAGCGTTATACGAAAATCGACACCGGAAGTTATTTCCGCTTAAAAAAAATAACATTAGTGATTTTCCCCAGCAGGCACTCAACGTTGTTTCAACGTTGAAACAACGTTGAAATATGGTCGTGACGTTGTTCAACCAATATTCAACTATGGGCGACCATACGGATATATTGCCAATGTATATTCAACGTTGATTCAACGTTGTTTATGGTCGAAGTTTTACATTTAGTTTAATCATTATATAGTAAATCTATAATGGTATAACAAACTTACATACATGTTCAAGTTCTTTGGATACTTTGACACACGGATGTAATCAGATAGATTAATCTGAGCAGTTTATTGCTTGTCCGTTTAACAGGAAACCAGGATGTGGACTGAGGGAATACTGGGACGTCCCATCTCACCAAGGTCAAACACCACTATATTTCGGTTAGGTCAGTAACCACCACACTCCTCCCCGTCCTATTTGTAAAGGCTGGCTGCCAGATAAGACCTTTCTAGTATCTAATCCAGCACTCAATACGAGCCTATTGAATGATTTCCTGGATCCTTACCAGTACTGGTACTGTACCCTGCTCTAGTACAAGTACCAAATAGGTGATTATCATAAACCAATCACCTGAACAGCTCAGCTATGACTTGATCAGCTGAGCAGCCCCACCAGGACTTACTCAATTACTTGAGCAGCCGACTATGCAGAATTCTACGACTCACTCAATCACCTAAGCAGCCCACTGTAGAATTTATTAGAATGAATTGTCACCAGTAGCACCCTGAGAAGAATTAACCAACATTAGTCTCTAACAATCACCAACAAACATAGAAACCTCCTTCAGGTCTAATTGATTAACTTAAGACTTATCTCTTACTACTGTCAAAACACTCTAACCTACTCATGCACTGGTTCAAACTCAGATGCAAGGATATGCAGCCTATATCTAGAGACTACCGCAACACCTATCACATCTACCAGCTTAACTCATGAACATCCTGAGGATTGTGCCCCAATCCTCAATATAAGACCTTATCTGGACAACAAACAATCCAGACTCAGATTTATATTCAATGACCAACAAGAAGTAACCTTCACCAATAAGCTGTGATACCACATTACAATAACCACACTGAATTATAAATCTCCAGTTTTATTTGCTTACCTCCCAAAAAGACAACACATTTCCTTTGATAACTGTTATAACTCTGACATTATTTCAAGAGCTAAACCTAACAGATAACATCATGACAATTACTACTTCAGTTCTGCAAGATGCTCATTCTATTTCTGCCATAAGAAACCCCCAACCACGCAATCCAATATTGTACTAACATTTGTAATGATCACTATTAACAGATGCCTGCATCCAAATAGATCCCATACAAACTGTCATATAAATTTGCTTGTCGGCCTAACAAGCAACCTACCAAATGACATTATAGGTCATCTAGCTTAGAAGAGACGGGAACTGCGTGCTTGGTGACCCCCTACATAGCAGTGAACTTAACTGACCAGATGCAACTTGCTTGTTTATATGGGAGCTAACCGTCTCTTAATTGTGACTATATTGTTACCTAACATCTCAGTTCTGGGACTCATATTTCTGTAAATAACACCAGAATGGACTCTAGGGCCTTTTGAAACATAATCACCAATAAGCTCGCAACTCATTATTACTAAGATGATTCCTAGATAATGAGCTTACACTCCTGGGATTCATTCCTAAGGTTCCTAATTACCAAGACTGATTGTAACACACTCAATGACAGATGCGATTTTAACCTGAAACCCGTAGATTTTGGTTCCTTCCCTGGCAGGCTTCCCAAGACCCTTAGTGACCCAAGTGATCTTTTACTTGCCAATAGCACCACATCTACATCGTCAATAAAGGATCCCCCAATTCATGGGCCATCATATACTAATTGACACCTACCACAAGGCAATTTTCCCCAAATCGATTTCCACATGGTACCAACATTACATCATTTTTAAATACCATGATTACGATTTGTTCTGGCCCAAATCGATTTCCCACATGGTACTAGACATTATATCATTTGACCGTGATTACGATTTGATCTGTGCTGCAGCAACTTACACCGGGATGGATCCTTCAACCATCCCGCCAAATTACTTGTGGCTCCAAAACCAATAAACCACCTTATATGAGTGATCAGTCTATGGTATGCAATCAGCTAAACTACCAGATAAATTAAATTACCCCATGGTAGTTCTTCTCTGACTAACCACCAGATAAATTTAATTACCCCAATGGCGGTTCCTATCTGCAGCTACCCTCACCCCCACCATCACTAACTGGCAAGAGGCTGAGCTTTTCCAGCTGCTACCCTTACCCCACCAGTACTTACTAGTAAGAGGCAGACTTTTAGTCCCTAAGACTTATTCCAACTACAAGGAATTTCCCTCAAGTTGATTTCCTACATGGCACCCTGGATCCAAACACCATGATTACAACCTGATTTTCCCCAGATCGATATCCTACATTTTATTCTATCCAATTCCCTTCCCCCTTTTGGGATTAGAAGAACCACACATTAGAATAAACATGATATCGACCCAACCTTGTAGTCTTAAAACACCTAAAAGCATTTTATAAACTTTTAGGGCTACCCTTTGACCTTAGCTTAATCAACTGTATTAGTCTTCTCAAACTTATCTTCAAGTTCCTCAATAGCCTCTATCACAGTTTCCTAAGTCACGGAAGAGTTATCTTCATCACAATGAACTTCATCACTATCAGTACTGACTGAAGAAACCCTCTTTCCTTCACATCTTTCACTGCGTTTGCTCCTACCAAAAATGGCCTCATGGCTCTGTTGGTACTTACGGACCAATAATTTGGCTTGTTCGACCGTGGATGGATCATGCATGTAAACATGGAATCCAGCTTGTTGGTCTAATTAACCATGGCAAAACCTACTTATAACCTGACTTGTTATAAATTGGGCACACACCCCCTGAAAGGCTTTATCGGCTAAGGAACATAACCTGTCTGCAAAATCATCAAGAGATTCGTTCGGGTTTTGAAAAGCTTGATAAAATTGCCCTTGAGCTGCCTCTGGTGAGATTTGGTCACCAAACCGAGCCTCCAGTTTATCGTATAAAGAAGTATACGATTGCACTTCACCACTTTTATGTAAAATTACATAATAATCTAAAGCTTTGTCCTCCAACGTCCAGCACAACGCACACAGTTTATCCTCATTTGACCACTGGCACATCTCAGCATATCTGGAAAACTTAAAAATGAAAGCTTCCCAACTGCCATTGCCATCAAATGTTAAATTCGTGGGCATTTTATCTAATGATAGTCTTGACCTGGCTGTTACAGGATAAACTGGTTCCCATCCCCCATCCATGAGATAATGGCTTAAATTCATTATCCCCCAATGAGGTGGTCCCCTGTTCTTTCCATAGAGACCGCATAGACCCAAAATCAGCAGGAATAGCCTGGGGAACCCTAGGTGTGGTAAACATATGCCCATTATACCCCATGCTATCCCCACCCATCACAGGTCTACCTTCTCTACGCCCAAATACTGAAGTGCTTTTCACCCCAGCTGACCCTCTGGCCACATCAGGCTTTACTGACCCAGGCTTTGGTTCCGAAAAGTCTAAAAATGACTGATCCAAGGACCTAAATGACTTATCCAAGGACCCTTCCCCTTTAGAAGCTTTAGTATGATGCTCTAAAGCCTCCTCTTTCCTAGGGGATTCTTCCAAAACCTCATTTGGTGAAAAATCTATCATATCTAATTCCTCACCCGTAAACTTTTTACGACATATTGCAGACAATATGTCGGCTGTGATATCACCGCCAGTCCCCCTTATGGATAGGAGAATAGCAGAAACCCTCTTACTAACCCCCGGAATTTTAACCAACTCGTCCTCAAAAGCAAAATTAATCGCAACCTTAGATTTATTGGTGTGGGGGCCTTTTGTGTCTGACCTATCCATCGCCATTGCCATATTAATAATTACTTATTACTATATTTTTATTACAAATAATTAAAAATATCAGGCAATTACAGGTCGTGCAAAGTACCACTTACCGTTACTGTAAACCAATTTTCGAAATAAATTTATTTTATTCCACACACCTGCACAATACAACAATATTGTGCCTTACAGTAACTATAATAAGCAATATTAAAAGAATATCGCTCTTTGAATTATGCAATATAAAAAATATCACACCTCTTTCTGCCTGAAAATAAGCAATATTATGAAAATATCACTCTTAAAAATTCCTCTGCAATTTCCTTTCAAAAATTGCTAGGCTAAGGGGACAACAATAGAAGAAAACAAAATATGATACCGGTATCAAATATCCTAATTAGAAACCACAATTGTACAAAAACCTAAGTGGGTACGAAGACTGGTAGCGTCTTAAAAATACAGGCCGCAGCTAGAATTGAATCACCGCTGCCACCATTATAGTAAATCTATAATGGTATAACAAACTTACATACATGTTCAAGTTCTTTGGATACTTTGACACACGGATGTAATCAGATAGATTAATCTGAGCAGTTTATTGCTTGTCCATTCAACAGGAAACCAGGATGTGGACTGAGGGAATACTGGGACGTCCCATCTCACCAAGGTCAAACACCACTTTATTTCGGTTAGGTCAGTGACCACCACACTTATATAAACTTTTTACCACTAATGTTGTGTTATTATTCCTTTATTGAATTAGTCTGTAAGTGATTTTTGTCAGGAAAATTTGCGTAACAATCTTTTTCTGGATATTCAAAATTAGCGCTTAAACAAATAAAGTTAGAGATACTTTTTCACTTTCTATTAACGCTTTAAATATTAGTTAATATGTTTTGTTGTTTGTTGTTTTATTTTTTAGTTCTTTATGAATAATATTAATTAATTAATTGATATTAGTCAAAACTCCGTTTATAAAATAACGCTGGTCAGTGGAAGTAATTGTTGCGGTCCATGATAATGTTTGTTGTCTATGGTTATCGTCCGTGCAAATGGTGGAGCTGTTTCGAAATTTGAAAACAACACGATTCGGCAATTTATTTGGATTTGGAGGTATTACCTTAATGTTTTACTTTAGTTTACTGATTTTTTTCTAAAATATTATTTATTCTTAAACTACTTTAATTTATTTTATGAAATAAATGAGAGATGAAAACACATGATTGAGTTTATCTGACACGTTTTCGCGACCTGATGATTTGGGTTCGGTTGGCCTTGTAAACACAAAGTTATTAATGTCCTTGGCAATTTATGATCTTTCTTTAATTTATTTTTCATATTATTAAACATTTTTCTGTACTATATCCTAATTAAAATTTAATCAATTTATAAAATTGAAACCTATAAAGTAGTTTGGCCCACATAATTTACGTCCCGAGACGATTCGTCAATATAACTATGTTTATATTTTAGTGATAGTATAATACAGTGTTAATTAGTTTGAAAAAAATACATTACTATGAAGTAAAATAACAAAGTTTAGTGTTAAACTTTAAAGTTTAATAGTCGTAAATTTATAGGGAATAATAAATCTATTTCTATTTTATTATATATTGTTCTATATTCTAGATCCTGGTCCTGGCTGAAATTTAGAGTATTGGCACTATTACAGCTGTAGCCTGTATACCATACATAATAAGTAACATTCAACATGAAAAGGACTGTCAGGTTTGTTAAATTGAAATTAATTCTTATTAATTTATATATTTGAATTTCTTTACAATACAAAGTATAAATTTTTCAACTACTGGATTTTTATCTTGTCTTAAAATATATCATTTTCAGAATATTCCTGTAACATTATTCACATAAAGTTTACATGTTTGTTTATTTCATGATGCTGCATAAAATGGTCTTAGCTAGGGCCTAGAATGATAATTTCTTAGGAATATGCTGCAAGTAACTGACGGGGAGCAGTTTTTCTTACCAATCATAGGTGAGACTTTTAAATAGCTGCTTTTTTAAAAGATTTTGTTGTTTTATGTACAGTATTTGCTGTCAATATGAAACTTAGCTATGTTTCAATTTCTATGCTGTTTTATGATGTAAATCTTAGAGATAAGCATTTTAAGATAAAAACAAATCACTAAGTTGAGTAATTATATGTAAAATTTGAGATTGACCAAGTCACTTTTAACTACAAACTTCTTATTTTTATTTGCAGAAGCAGTAAGAGACAGCCAAAGAAGTACTCAAACACTTGACATACCCAGAAAGATCTAAAAGAAAAGATTTGAACAGATTGTAGCTTAATTGTTAAACTATTAAAGTGAATTTAAGCTGCACTTGAACTTTATTTTTGAAATAAAATATCTGAAGTATTTAATATCGTCTTGATATTTTGTTAAACTTGGTTACTTAATTTGCTTTATATCCAAAAAATAAAGTATGGTGGGTTTTCAACGTTGAAATGACATTGAAAATTCAACGTTGGTACAACGTTGAAGCTGCAACGTTGTATCAACGTTGAAATTTCAACGTTGTTTCAACTTTCAAATCCGAATATAAATCCAACCTTATTTCAACGTTGAAATCTGACCATAATTCAACGTTGAAACAACGTTGATGTGCCTGCTGGGTCCTTATTTTATCGTGTTAGAATCGAAATAACATCGGCCTGAGAGGTGTATATCGGCTATTTAACACCGGTTTTGTCGTTTTGATACGACAAAATTATCCACTCAGGCCTACGGCCTTCGTGGTCAATTCCTACGCATCAAAACTCCAAACCGGTGTTAAATAGCCGATATACACCTTTCAGGCCGATGTTATTTCTTAAACTTTAACCTAAAGCCAATAGTCGTATAGTTAGAGGAAACAAGACTTACTTTGTGATCTTTACATTACTTTATATCCAGCAAACTACCATCTTAGTATCTGGCCTTCTTGTCTCCGAGCGCCACTCAGTCCCCTGTAAATCTGGTTGTCCAGATTTTGTATCATATGTCTACAACCCATTTCACAATCATTAGAGATATAAATTGAAATTACATGAATAAATAGCAAAACAATGGAAGCATATTAATAAAACAACTCATTGGTTACAAACGTAACACTAAATTACATTTATATATCAATTCTTACAAGTTTGCATGGAATAACACTTTCAATAGGAAATTCAATTTTCTTCAAAGTTAACTAGAGTAACATGCACTATAATATAACTATTTAATACCAACTTTATAACCCAATTAATTCCGATTTCTGAACATTTAGAGCGTTCGTGATGTAGCATTTGTAACAATACCGTAACAACTGTGTAACAGCCCCTAACATCAATGTATTCATATATGTTCCCATTTCAGACCATTTTTAGAGACAGTGCTGTAACACATATAACATCTGTAACATTTGTAAAAAATATGCGTTAGTAACAATGCTGTTATAACTATGTAACAAGCTTGTATAATCTATGTTTACCCTTTTTAGCCAGATCTTTTACCATTTTTATTGCTCGCGCTGTCAAATTTGTAACATTTTTATATCAATTTTTTATTTCATTTCTAGCTCTTGTAACATTTCTATCAAAATTGAAACAAATATAACTACATTTTAAAATCTACGTAACCATATTGGTTCGGATTTCTTACAATTTGTAGACCATATGCTGTACTAATTGAGCCATCGTGAACATTTTAACAATCGTATATGAAATTGTCATTTCATTCCTAATTCTCTTAACATTTGTAACAATGCTGTGGAAACTATGTATCAACTCTATATGTTACAAGGTTGTTGCATAGTTGTTATAGCAATTTTATTTAAGTTACAATAATTGAGAGTAAAATGAGTTTATCGCACTGTTAAAGATGTAAATGCTTGATAATGGTCAGAAATCAAAATCAACACGGTATCATAGATATAACAGCATTGGTGCAAATGTGATTTGAGACTGAAATGAACAAATAATATGAGTAAAATGTTACAGCTGTATTGTGTGTTATAGGTTATGCATATTTTATTTTGCTTTATTCTGGTAACATATCACAATTGTTTCAATATATTGCGCACATTCTAGACCGTACCTCATGATTTTCTCTATATGTTCTAAACGGTGTAATGTGGTGCCTCTACAACACAAACGGTGCGATAGTTAAACCAATTATTTATAAAAAAAAAGAGTTTTTCCGTGCACATGAGCAATTTTCAACTATATTGTTCGACTATTCACTCTAACGTTGAATCCGTTATAACAATTTTTGTCTTTAATTATTGATACTTTTATCGGTACTTTCTTAATACATGAACGGTTCTCTTTTTAATAACATAGCAAATGATTAGTTGTCTCCTTTAGCCT